CAATCCAGATCATGACTAACTAAATTAGGATTATGTTACTCGTGTAGAAAGAATGGGAACCAAATCAATGAACAAGGCAAAAGAAGATCATAAACTAGCTCTTTAGTCTGGTAGAGTGTTCACGAGATGTTTATTTCTCGCCTCGCCTTGCCAGATGCTTATTCTTGGCTTCGTGAGATGTTTATCCCTCATCTCTCACCATCGTCGTGGCTAGCAGGTAGGACCTTATCTATCTGAAGCCACTTATATGACTCCAAAAGTTCGAAATATTTTCGCAGGATATTTATTTCTTGCTTCCGGACTTCGAGAGATGTTTATTTCTCGTCTCTCACTATCGTTGAGCTTAACTATAAAACCTTGACTATCCAAGACCACTTATAAAACTCTGATAGTTCAAGAGCTTTTGGCGAGATGTTTATTCCCCTCTTCGTAAGATGCTTATTCCTAGCTTCGCAATATGTTTATTTATCGCCTCTCACTGTCGACGAGTTTAGCTATAAGACCTCGTCTACCCAAAGCCAGTTTATAAGACCCCAATAATTCAAGTGCTTTTCACGAGATTTTTATTTGCCTCATTGTGAAATGCTTATTCCTAGCTTTGCGAGATGCTCATTTCTTATCTTTCATTATCGTCGAGCCTAATCGTAAGAACTCATTCTTCTGAGGACAACTTATAAGTCTTCCATAGTTTGAGACGAACCACCAGCTCGATATACATTCCTCACTCTGGGAGATCCTTATCATACAAGATGTTGCATTATAGCTACATTTATCTTCAGAGAGCTTATTACTCTTCTACTTCAGCTATATTTCAACCATATTTATCTTTTGAAAGCTTATCACGCCTCTACATTAACCATACCCCAATTAAAGATGCCTTGCCGTCAACCATTCTCCTGAGCGCATCCACTTAGTCGAGCCAGTATTCTCATAAGTGCACCCACTTAGCCAAACATATATTCTCATAAGCACATCAGCTTAATCGAGCGCTATTCATGATGCCTTCCATGGCTGGATCAAACACCATAGAGGAAGCCCTTGACGAGGTACGTGATACCTTACACAAGGTCACATTTTCAAAGAATGTCCACTTCGTTAGGCGAGACACATGACACCCCCACAGAGGTCGCCTCTAATTCCATAGAAGATGATGCATTCCATAACTGAATCAAATACCATGGAGAATGACCTTTACAAGGTGTGTGATACCTCCTACGAGGTCACCTCTTCCAGGATGTCAACTTCGATAGGCAAGGAGCATAACATTCCTACTAGGGTTGCCTTTGATTCCATTGAAGATAATGCTCTCCATGGGTGAACAATCCACCATGGATGAAGCTCTTGATGAGGTGTGTGACACCTCCCACAAGGTCACCTCTTTCAAGAATGTCCACTAAAGGTCGCCTCTGATTTCATCAAAGATGATTCTCTCCATGGATGAATCATCCACTATGGAGAAAGTCCTTGATGAAGTGTGTGAGACCTCCCACGAGGTCACCTCTTACAAGGATGTTCACTTCGATCGGTGAGGCACGTAACATCCCATAGGGGTTGCCTCTGATTCCATCGACGATGATGCCTTTCATGGCTGGATTAAACATCATGGAAGAAGCTATTAACATGGATGTGCCACCCCCATGTAAAGATGTCGTTTAACACGACAACTCCCATTCAGAGCATTCTCTACAACTTATGTCCGCAGCATCGCCTCTTCTACTTACATTTAGAATCTTGCATCTACACCAACTTCATCATAGTTTCTTATCTATTCAGAGTCTCGCATCGTATCAGTTTCATCACAACTTCTTATATTCAGAGTATCGCTTGTACCCAAAAGTCTGTGCATTATACGAATATCTATCCCTGGACTTGGAGAACAATTATGCTACTAATATCTTAGTATCATTACATATTATTTCTAGTACATACATTATATTATTGATGTAAAGTACGCATGTCACACACCGCTAGCATGTCATTAGACATGACGCTATTTTCATTTTCATTTTATTATCGACATCATGTTGCTTGCTTCACTATAGTACTACTATTACATAAGTTGTGTAAGAATATGACCTGCTATAATACATAATAGACTCTCTACATATTATATCATAGAGAAATTTGATGTGTCATTATTCACTTTACTGTTATGAGTAATTTGTGGGGGCAAATGGATCCCAATTTATTTTATATATATGCGGTTGAGATATTATGTTGTATTACAGGTTGGTTTAGTACGTATTATATATGAGATGTTGAAATTTTGACAAATTTTTTGCGACATCTTTCGAGGCAATTTGTAAGTCCTCGTTTATTCAGGATTGGACAGATATTTTTGAGGCAATTCTAAGTGCTAACCTATTTGGCATCGATGCATATTTTTAAGGCAGTTCGTAAGTTCTTATTTATTGGGGCTGCTAGTATTTCTGTGGCAATTTATAAGATTTCGCATACTTGACTACTTATATTTTGAAATCTTACCTGTACATAAATGTTCGAATCAAACTTGGAGAACTATTGTTACACCTATAAATTACGTGGCATACGCATGACGGAGGGGATCCCACATTTGTCGACTTGACATATTATTTAATTGGATTGAGCTTATTAAACTAAACAATTTTATCTTGAGCTCAACTCATTCACCATTTGGCCCATATATATTTTCGTATGTGTGTGTGTGTGTGAGAGAGAGAGAGAGAGAGAGTACCAAGATAATCTCCAATTTCCAGATCAATATCCATTGGCCGGAGAAGTCCAATAGCACCTGTCACAGAGTTTTGAAGACATAGACAACATCACTATCATTTATGTTCTAACAGATGAAATGAATTGACAAATAAGTATATAGAATTATTCAGAACTCAAAAAAATCGAAGACAATTGTTCTTTCGCTTTTCAAAATTTCGCTTCTGATCTGCAAAATCCGTGTCGTTCAAGACAAGCAAGAAACAAATATACAAATGTCCCTTGTCCCGCATCAGTACTTCTCTCTCCAAAATTCAAAAGAAAGAGAATAGCTTAATTAGGTTATGAAACACGGGCTATTTAGACGCTAGAATTAGGGTCTACAAGAGGAACTAGAGTTCAATTGCAACTAAAACACTGAGATGTACATTGAAGCAACAGTAAGCCTTTCTTACGNTATAATGATGGAACCATTCGGTTCAGTTCCATTCGATTCCATACCATAATTAAATTTCTTAACATTTACAACAACACTACATAAATACAACTAATGACATGTTCATTCATAGCTTTGATGAGCAGTTGGAGAGGGGAAGTCGAACTCGACAGTTAGCGGCTTCAATTGGGCATGTAGATGTAGGTTTTCAATTTATCAAATGATTTGGGGTTAGTGGATTTGTGCTTACCGAATGAGAGTATGAAACTGAAAATAGAAGGATAAAAATTTAAAAATGTCTAAATCTTGGGCTAACGGTGAAATTAATAATTGGGCCAAAAAATTGAATTTAGAAATTGGTTAGGTTGGGCTGGACTAGCTAGGCTTGGAGCTTGGAAGTTGGAGAATTAATCACTAAATTGGTTAATTTGTGTAGAAAAAATTAAAATAATTTAATTAGTTCAATATAAAAAATTTTAAAAATTATTTAGATTCGATTCTTATTGGATTCTTTGATTCTTGGTCTAGAACCAATAACCAAAACAAATCCATCAGTTCTCGATTTAAATACTTTTTCGGGTATTTAACTTATAAAGAACCGTTCGATTCAGTTCAATTCGAGTTCGATTTGGTCTGGTCTGGTTAGGTTCAGAAGTTTTGTCCAGCCATACTTGGAGTTTCATCTTAAAATGTAAACAGTGTATTTTAAACCCTTATTGGTCTATATTTTCATCTTTATTCGATGTAAAATTTTATCTCTTAACATGTTCGCACAAAATGTGGCTCGTTTGAACAGACTAATCTTGAAATTCGTGTACTCAATTTTTAGTCTTTAATAGAATCAAATTGTTAGTGGGAGTTTAATGAGTTCTAATACCACGTTAAGATTTTGATTTCCATCTCAAAATGTCAATCTTATTAAGAGTAACCCAAACCTTTATGTTTTAATATATATTTCGATATTTAACAGATATTGGATTTTATCCCTTAACAAAATCATCCCATTACGATGGAATGTAAGTCAAGAACCTTACAATTTCTTGAAAAGGAACCAGCTTTTTTTCCTCGGTCCGAGAAAAACTTTGAGAATCATTATCTTGGCCTCAAACCCACCAGTTCATGTCGCGACTCGCGAGGACATTTAGAATTCTGGATTAGTTTACATTCTTATCAGCACAGAAGAGAACAATATCACAATAGCCAATGGTACAAGAGTTTTAAGACGTTTTCCCCGAAGAATTACAAGGGCTACCTCCTGAGGTAAATTAGTGAAGTTTTTAATATTCGATTATGATTTCTTCGATGTTTAATGCACTAGCGTTTGAACATAACTCCCGAGACGTCCAAAGTAACTTTTAATGATGGAATTTAATAATGTGAATGATAAGTAAAAGGGAAAATAATGCCTATCAAAGGCAGTCAATTGTTAGGCCCCAATTTCTTAAAAACTCGTTTTTAAAACTCATTTCCAACCACGCATTTCATGAGATTCACAACTTTCATCAACTTTTTAATCATATATTTCTTCAATGTTTACCAAAATATACTAGAAGTACGATTTTTTAGCAAAATCAAATAGGGACTTAGAAACAAACTTTATTACACTAGAAGAGGTTCCTATACACTGAAACTCTTGAAAATGCTGTTCCAAGAGGCATCTAAAGAAAAAGCAAACAACATAAGTACCCTAAGGTAGTAAATTTTACGCTGTAAGTTACTCTTTATTCTACTGAAACTTCAAAGCAACTCTCACTCGGTTATTTACACGTCTCTCACTCATGCTCCGTGTTCCCAGCCATTGTCAGCCTCAGCTCCCTAGATTCCAATGCAATAAAGAGAGATTTTGAATCAACATTTAGGGAGAGGTTGTCTTCTACTTTGTGGCTGTGAGAACAGTCGACCCTTCAACCTGAAATATTAACCACATACTTCACCAATCAGCGACATTAGAATGAGCCAATCTGTGGCACAAAGTTATATCTTTCTAGTGTTGGATTTTTCCATTTCAGATTTTTAAAAAAAAAAATCAAGAAAAAACTCTAAAACTTCAACTGACTCTAAAACTTCAACTGGCTTCTCATTGATAATGAACGTATAATAATGTAATGCTGTCATTATCTGGCCAATGTGGCTTCTCTTCAGAATCATTTTATTGACATGAAAGGGTCAATTTATGATGTCAAGTCCTGTTTGATTCTCAACTAAAGAGTACATTTTTCCATAATGAAGGAGAAACTTCTTGCTTCTATCTCTTAGAAAAGTTGTGGCCGGCTTTCTGTTCTTCTAATAACACACAAAACTTGAACATCATAGCCAGTAGGTGCAGAGATGGCTCAAATAATAAGGATTGCCCAGAAAATATTATGCATGGCCAAATGATTCAGTGAATATATCACTTTGCATATAAATTTGGTAAACAGAACAAGTGGCTCGTATAAAACGGCGACAGATAAATCTCACCATAAATTTTGCTCCCCATATTTCTTCCTCATTAGCAGGAACAGCAGTGATCTTGTTTTTAGGGTTCTCATAGCTTCTAAGTTCACCCACTGATGTGGAAAAGTAACATCCTGAAAAATCGACATTCACATTATCAAGTTAATATAACAAGCAGTTTATTTGTTACTTTTGGTGATTATTAATATTCCGCTCATGATCCAAAATAAAAAAATGATTTGCCTTACCTTGTGGGAAAGAAGCAAGTGACTTGCCACAAGCACCCTTTAGTAAATCAGCATCATCAGCAAATGCCACATATCCATCAGCAGTAATTCCCCAATAGAGGGGAACCTTGCCATATTGATCCTGTCACAATAATGGAAAATGAATTTGTCAGCAAATACTAATCAATCTAGAAAAGCTTCAACTAGACCATGGATAGGTGGGATTACTCACCGTAGCTACAAATAAAGTAGAAGTGGACTTGTCGAAAACTATGAATGCGAAATTCCCCTCGAGATGGCCAACAACATGATTTGGAGGATAAGGTGCTCTGTCTCGTAGTGCTTTGTATGCTTCAATCATCAACAGCACCTCATTTGCAGACTTGGCAAGGCCATACTGTTGCTTCAGACTCCCCAAGTTATCCAAAGATCCTTCAAACAAGCAGAATATTTCGTCCTTGACTGCAAATAATCTGCCATTTATCATCCATGGCAATTATTATGTGACAATAAATGGGAAAAAATGAAGCTCGGTAAAGTTATATACGTTAAAAAAAACATTGGGTTCCTTAAACTTTATTGGTTAGTACACCTGAAGCTAAAAGAAAAGGTAAAGAGAAGCTTTCTGTCAAAAATTGAGTGTGGACAAATCAATACCAGATCCTGTCTATGGCATTTTTCTTATGGAAAAAGAGTTGGCAGGCAGAGGGATTAGATTCAGTTCAGGGTTACTAAACAAAGAAAGCCAGTGGGAAATGATTTTATCACTACGCTATCCAAAATAAAACTTGGAGCGAGAATCAACATCCTTACTTAGGGCTAGGCAAGGTGACATCAGCTGAAGAATTACAAGAAATAAAATCCTCAAATACTTTTGGATTACAAATAGGTATCAAGTGAAGTTTCAACTAACTCATCCTTATATATTCATCCCGAAGTCACTAGAGTACAGTAGTTCCAATGTCGTCGAACAACCAATCACATCAAGCGATTTGCTGTCCTAAGTTCTAAAGGATTGCAGTTTTCTTCTCGACTTGGCTTTTAATAATAGGACAAAATACGTAATTGTTGAATATACACATTCAATTTTACGCGTCCAAAAAGAAACGCACACGTTTATAACCGGAGAAACCCCATTATCCGAAAGCCATGACCATAACCCCGATTGTTTTTCTATTTAGTGATACCGTAGATTCGATGAACGAACTAGGTGTTTGTTCGTGTCAATTTGTTCCCCATTTAGGAAACAAAGAGACCCATAATCTTGCTTCTTTTGATTCTATTGCCCGGACTATTATGTGTTGTGTCGATTGTATTCTATATGTGGTTTAGTACATTTATAAATTTATGAATAATAATATTCACCATCGCCGATATTTAATATCAATTTAGGTGACAATATATGTACCATTAAATTATAGGTTCAATTAAATATAATAATTTACAATTCATTTTATAAGATAATGGTGACGAGCCGCGTGTGCGGACCTACTTTGCATATGGGTTCTAGCTGTGCATAGAATGTGTGAAGATATTTCTAGAGAAGAATCATTGATTCATCTAGAAAAGTTCAACCCATAAATTCCAAATCTTGAACAGTTGGACCTCGAGATTCCTTATTTCATTACTTCGATGGCCCAACTCTCTTGGATATGATGATGATGATGATGATGATGATTCATTGTTTTTTTGTTTTTTTTGGGTTGATCATCTGATTGTAACATATAAAAAAATGGAATCAAAATAATTGAGTGGACGATTAAGATTATAAAATATATAAACATAAAACAATCCAAAAGTAGGCTTAAAATTTCATCATTTTTGGAGAAAATAATTTGTTCCATGTGGGAGATGTCAATATATACATGATCACAAAATTATAATAGAAATAGTCTAATTAATCATTATCATTATCTGAGTACAACTAAAATATGATAAAAATAAGAGAATTTGCAGTAAATTACCCTAAACTTCCAAATCTTTCAAATGTAGTGCAAATAGCTCCAAAGTGTTTTATTTTTGTTAGGGTTGAGTCTGGTTCGGTTCGGTTCGGTTCGGTTCGATTCAATTCAATTCGGTTCAATTTTAAAGAGAACCAAACCAAACTCGAATTTTCGGATATTTAGTAAATGGAACCGTCGGGTCCAAATTTAATTATGGAACCGTTCGGATTCGATTCCATTCAATTCAGTTCGATTCGGTTCCCGTGTTCTGTATAATAATTAATTTTTTTTATATTACAACAACACTATATTAATTCGATTATAACATGTTCAATCTTAATTCTTACAAAATAAAATAGTTCAATCTCATAATATCTTTTACACATCTCTTTGTTAAGTTCTTTATAGATTTGACTCTTAAAATCATAGGAAAATAAAAATGACGAGTTCATAATAATAAAACAGCAGAAACGACACTACAGTAAATAAGAAATTTGGGTAAAACTTAGGTCAATTTGATTAAGTTGGGCTGGCTAGAAATTAGAAATAGTGAAATCATATTTTGAGTTTAGACTAGATTAATTAATTAGCAAATTTATTTTAAAAAATAAAATAATTTGACTTATTTAAGAAAAAACTTAAAAAATTAGAGAGATTTGGTTATTAATCGATTCTTGGTCTAGAACTAAGAATCAGTTCTTGATTTTGATACCCGTTCGAGTATTTTACTTAAAAAGAAACGATCAGTTAAGTTCGGTTCGAGTCGGGTTGGGTTGGGTCCAATTCAATCCAATTCGATTCGAGATTTTTATCAAACTCTAATTTTTTGTGGCCCAAGTGGTCCTTTTGGACGAAATCCAAAAGTACATTTACTTTTGTCAGTTTTGTGCGTGAGGTGCAACTGTCCTTATTTTATTTTTATTTTAAGGGCACAGAATTAACAATCATGTTACATGTACAAGAATGTTTACATCTTTGTTGACGTTCTTCCACATGACACCATTATATCATTTGATTTTCTCAACAATCTTTAGGGCGTGTTCGATTCGGATTAAAATCCAATTAAAATTGAAAATATAGCCATTATTGGGTTCAACTCGTCTAATAAAAGTCAACAATAACGACTAGTTTTTTAATTTTAATCCGATTTTAATCTACACCAAACACACTCTTAATATCACTGTCCAGATTATGTAATATAGAAGGGATTGTCAACTAAGATGTAAAACGAGATGTACATCTAGATTAATCACAAAATCAATTGTCCATTCGAACGAAAGGAATCCATCAAAAGGACTATTTGAGCTAAAACTGCAAACAATTGGAACAATTTGCACGATATTTGAAAAGTTCGGACAAAAATGCAATAAGAACGTAGGTTTGGAGCCATTTGCCCCAATTTCGTTAAACTAACGATTCTAAAGTTAATTTTAGATTGTACCATAGGTCCTGCATGAACAATGCAAAGACCCATCAACGGTCAGGATTAAATACCATCATCACATTACGTCGTTTAGATGAATTTGAGTTTCTATATCATTACCTGGACTTTAAAGCGGACTGGTCGTTATGACTGTAAGCGAGCTGAACATGATCGCCGATCTGAACCGACACAGCCGAAGAATTGGCCTCTAAGAATCGGCCCACCAGCTTCGCCGCCGTGGCCTTAGGCGACGGCGTCCTGTTCCCCGCTGCCACCAACTCTTCCGGCGGAGGCATGATCGAGCTACTAAACACTCCCAACATTTTCACACTCACTTTGCTTACGTATAATTTTCCTCTCTCTCACTGGGATTGATAAAGAGAATGGAATGAAAGAGTGCAGCTGGAGAGGGTGTGGATTTATAGAAAGAGAGACGAGGGTATTATCATAATTTTGCAAAGCTTGGAGATGATACCATTGTGTCTGATAGCGTTTTGTGGGCCATACGTGGGTCCCACTGGGATTAATAATTGTCTGAAGTTTGTATCTAGGGGAGATGGAGGGGTGTTATTAGGCAATTAAAATATTATCCGTTGGCTGTGAGATTCTCACGTAATTTTCAAGGATAATGCTTACTGTACATAATTTATATATATAAGAGGATATATAATGTGATGTGATAATCATTCGATAGTTGATGTAAAAGTATAAGATTTGAATTAAATGTTGAATATGTGTCACATTTAATTATGTAAACCATTATATAACAAATTATGTACCCTTAGCAAAGTCAAATTTTCAATACAATTAAGTTATTGTGCTAGAAAATATTAACATCTTAGTTGACAGATGTATCGATAATAGAAAATGATTAGATGTAAAAGTTGATTATTTTTAAAATAGTCCAATAATAGAATGACATGTAAGAAATGATTGAATGTAAAAGTTGATTGTTTATAAAATAATCTAATGATAGAATATCACATAACATTTTGTCGAGTAAGATGTCAAATTTTTCTGACAATGTAGCATGATTATTTTCAATTACGTCTCTTATTTTTTAGGATTAATCTATTTGTACAACTTGGATGACAAATGGATGAAAATGTTGTGTTGTCAAAAAACTAATAACTCCAAAAATAAGTTTTAATGAAAATTGTGCAGTGGGTGAATGTCATGTGGTATATTGTCAACCATATTGTACATCATGATTGTACACCAAGTACTATTGTATTTTTTGATATTCTTTTTATTTTTTTTATTTTTGAAATGTGATTTTTTAAATGAATAATGTCATATGTACATTTTTATTTACATTTTAATTGATATCCTCCTATGTGGCACAATTTGGACAATAATATGAAATGTTGTTAGAGAAATCAAAGAAAATGATTGTACCATGTGGAAGAAATGTCAACCATGATGTTAAGTAAAATGTACATATAACATAATTGTTTCTTAATACTCAATTGATCATGATATCAACAATTTGTATGTGAATCCTTCAAGTTTTATTAACTTGGCCGTTTTAATTTTTCAACTACGCAAAAAATAATTTATTGGAAAGGAGTGAGATGGGCACGGTCGCCCAACAGTTCTTGAGAGCTTATTCACGGGTGGCTCAACTTGTTTCACCACAAATTCATGGATTGTGACGAGCTCAAATTTTAATTTGACGAGTTGAATACGATAAGTTTAATTACCTTTAATTTCCTTATTTTTTATTCTGAATAAACAAATCAAAAGTCTCTCAACCTGGCACATCACGAGTAGCCCCTGGACAAAGTTGAGTCGATCCGACACCATGGTCAAAAAGATAATCTGTGGATCGACTCAATCAGACCTATTGTCATCCCTAATTAATAAAGAACTATTTTTGTTCGTTTAAACAATAAAAAGTCGCTTATGTTCACAAAAGAATCTATCGATAGTTATTTCACTATCAAATGAACCTAGCCTTCCTCAAAGACATGGCAAAACAAACAAAGATAAAGTGTTTTTGATGCCTCAAACCTATTACCATTGCATGCGTTGTGTGCTCCTTTTTCTTTTTCCTTGCTACAATCGAGGTATCAACTTGCTTCATTTAAAAGAATTTAAAATTTCAACTCTAGTCTACTTCAATCATAAAACGAAAAGTGGATCTCCATTCTAAATTGTAACTTATATATTCAATTATTAAATAAGAATGTTATAAACTTTTTATTTTAAAAAAAATATATATAAAAAAATATTTATTTTATTAATTTTTTTGTAATTTATCTTTACTTTGTTGTCCTAGGTAGGGCTGAACAAAATATCCAAACCGAACCGAGTGGATTTTTAAAAATGAAATATTCGAACGGGTATTCGAATCGAGAATCGAATGGCTCGGTTCGGTTCGGTTCTCAACCCAGAACTGAAGAACTGAATAAGAACCTAATTTTTTTTTATATTGGATAAAGTAATTTCTTTTATTTTTTCTAAACAAATTAATAATTTTTTTCTTATTAAATCTTATTAGTTGAACAATTTAGAGTTTATTTATGTTTGTTAGTTGTGTTTTTTTCAATTTTTTCTTATATAGTTTCTTAATAGTTAGTATGGAAAGTCAACCAACT